AGCAAATTGATGCTGCAGTCAAATAGTAAAAATGAAAAAAAAAATGAGTGATGTGTATTGCTACAAGTGTAAGTGTCTTCTTGAATTAATAAAAAATAAAAACAGTAACGTTTATAAATATATGGACTCTACTTTGTTCTTTTTCAGTAATATCCGTTAAAACGTTTATTTTTATTATTATATATAATTATAGTACACCATATATCCTTTTCTTTGTCAATAATGTTATAAAACTAGTTGGAAAGGAGATTTTTTGCCTTACTTTCTGCCTCCAAAGTTCTTTCTTACCCTTTTACCTTTTTTGCACTCCATAATGGCGTGCTCAGCATCCGCCCTAGTCGCTCCACGCAAACAATAGCAATTGGGATCGGTATTGATTCCAACGTATATTTTGAAATCAATTAATTGAGTTATATTTATTTGTTTTTATGCATCCAAAAATCAATGAGCCTGAATCATATTTGAGTTGAAAATGCCTGATTTGACTATCCAGGATTTCCGCTTCCTCTTGTCTTGAATCATCTTAATTTTATATTTTTGACCAGGTTTCTCAAAAAAGAAGAAATGTCTCAAATTGTACATAAATATGCAGGATTCTTTGTTTTTTTTTCTACCGATACTTTAGTTTTCATTTTAAAATCGAAAATCTCAGTCTGTCTCAGTCAGTCAGTATAAAATCTCTTCATTTTCCCTTTTTCATTAGAAATAATATGTATAATCGTTACATTTGATGATACTACTAATTGGATCAGACATATTAGTAAGTCTTTCAATGAAATAAATAGTATTAATTTTTCAATTTGGGCTTGCCCTTTAGGTAAGCGGTTAAGAGCGACGAGGCTTGATTCAGAGGTCCCGGGTTCGGTACTCGTCTCGAGCAGCCTGTTGTCAAGCAGTAGTAACAACAATTTTCATTCGGAAACATAGATAGCAATATGTTTCCAAGTGAAAATAGTCCTTACCCGGCATTAATGAAAAGTAGACCAATAAACAGTCAGCCCTATTAGATAAATTCTAATAATAAAATCATCAAATATGGATGGATTGGGTTACCATCCAAAAATGCGAAGTAAGGAGAAGTTTCTGCTCAACAGCTTATATGATGTAAGGTTCTGATTGCTGTTAAGATATGAACAAAAAAATCAATTTGCTATATTATATAAAGATATTTATTATAAACTTCAGGTGTCTGGTTCAAATGTTTTAAGAATGAAATAATGAACATGTTCTGAAGTAAATTAGCTAAATTTATGTTCTCTGGACGCCTGATATCATTTTGAACAGTAAGACATAACAATTATTATATGTTCAAAAGTAACTCCCTAAATGATTCTTTTATTCAAATTTTTTGTATAATTTTTAACAATTTGAAAAAATCAAAAACAATTTCAGACAGCTGTAATCATATCAGTTTTGCATTATGCTAGGTCAAACCGTTTCTTCAACAGTAATTTTTATATTCTGTTTTAGCATTAATGTTAATTCAAAAACTATTGTAATTATTTTATTAAATTGCATTGTGTATTCAAGTTATTCTTATTTTTTTAAATTAAATTATGCTAATCTTTGTCTTTTTATTTGATGGCCATAACCTTTCCTAAAGCCAATTGATATAGTTATAATTAAATTGATAAAATACTCAACAGCACTAAATAATTCAATTTATTATTAGATGAATAAAAATAAACAACAATTCAAATTGTTTGTTCATATATCACTTGTGACGTGATTCGTAATAGCTTTAATGTTATTGTTTTATATTAATTAGTATTTTGCTGTAATCTTAATTAGCAATGCATTACGATTGTGAACAAATGAGTAATTTTTTTAATTCGTTAATTGTAGAACAAATTTAATAATATTTTCAAATCATCGTTTATATTTTTATGTTCTGCTCTTCAGCATTGATAGTTTATAAATACTAGCATATAAATACTACATACATATATATTAGCAATTAATTACTTTTTAAGTTATTTTTAAATCAATTGATCGATAGATCAAGTTTAACAATATATTATTGAATTTAAGGAACAGAAGTCTTGAAATTATGTATCCCAAATATTTAGATTTGCTAATGAAATTGTTAGAGATTTTTGAAATTAGAATATCGGGGACAGTAGTGTGAAAATTTATTATTTCATAATATCTCATTAATGAAGAATTACGCAAATACTTCTAACTTTATATGCAATTTTAGTTAGGATTACGAATCGTTCAATCAATTTAGCAATATCTATTTTGAATTTGCCGCTTTAAAATACATGGAAACATTATTCCGCTATGGCAACACTGCGCCCGCGTTTATCGACCAATCATAGGCCGGCGTCGGGCGTTGCCGGTTTTTACATAAAGCGAAGCGCGTCCTGTCAGTTCGGCATTTTTATTAGCGTTGTTTGTGGCTTCTTGGTAGCCAGTTTGATATACAAAGTATTTAGTTGTGTAACTAATTAACATTTCAAAATGAGGGAAATCGTTCACATTCAAACTGGACAATGCGGAAACCAAATTGGAGCCAAGGTAAGTTATTTTAAGCGACTCCATTATGATGTTCTTTTGCCGCATTGAAGTTGATTTTCAGTTTTATTGATTTTTCTATATTTGCGTTTCAACAAAGGTTTTCTTAAGATTCTTTCATCGTCTGCATGTTTCGTATCGATCGTTTTCTTTTATCGTTTTATTCATGGATATCCGAAACAGTGTTACAATGAAAAAAATTACTGTTACGAACTTGTTGTAGTGCTTGTACAAAGTGAAATTACTTTCATGTAATAAGTCTACAGCCATAATTTCATTATAGTTCTGGGAAATCATCTCTGATGAGCATGGCATTGACCCTACTGGAGCCTACATGGAGACTCTGATCTTCAACTGGAACGTATCAATGTTTATTACAATGAAGCCTCCGGCGGCAAGTACGTTCCTCGCGCCATTCTTGTGGATTTGGAGCCAGGAACCATGGACTCGGTCCGTTCTGGACCATATGGACAGATTTTCCGTCCCGATAACTTCGTCTTTGGCCAAAGTGGAGCCGAAAACAACTGGGCGAAGGGACATTACACCGAGGGGGCTGAACTTGTTGATTCCGTTTTAGATGTTGTTCGCAAAGAGGCTGAGTCCTGTGATTGCTTACAAGGTTTCCAATTAACTCACTCTTTGGGAGGTGGTACTGGATCTGGTATGGGTACTCTACTTATTTCTAAAATCAGAGAGGAATACCCAGACAGATTATGAATACTTATTCAGTAGTACCTTCACCTAAAGTGTCAGACACTGTAG